AGCAGGCACCATAGGCAGCTGGGTATTCTAGTAGAACAAAAAGGCAGAGGAAAGATTAATTAATTTCCTTTCTCCTATAGCTGGAGTTCTACTCTTGGACACCAGACTCCAGACTCTCTGGCCTTTGACTTCAGGACTTGCATCAGTGATCCACCAGGTCCCTAGACCTTCCCTAGTTCTTAAGCTTTCATACTTTTAGTAAGCCATGCCACTGGCCTCTCATGGTTAGCAGCTTTCTGTAAGTCATCTGTTGTGGCACTTCTCAGCTTCCATCATTACATGAATCAATTCCTCTAATAAATCACTTCTCATCTGTATAGCTATGTAATACAATATTATGCATGGTTAAAGCATGGTAATCAACAATGTTGATCTCGTACTGCATGATATAATAAACATAGTAACGACCATTCATTCTCATGTCAGAGGGTTTTCTCATTTGGAAAGAAATTCTAATTTAGGAGTTTATGGTGAGAAGAAGGTCTCTTTGAGGCAGATGAATATCTCCTACAACTCAAGAGGTGCATTTTAGCAAGCTGAAATTGACGTTACTGTTATCTGTAAGAAAGCCTCCTTCAGCAACTAAAGATTTATTGAAACAGCTTCTTTCCCTCTCTCATTTGCCTCAAAATTCAATTGTAGATTAGTAGGTCATTTCTAAATCTCTATTTCATTTTTCAAATCGATAAAACAATACCCATATTCATAAATGCTATATCTATATACTAAGATTCATAAAAGAACTTCTGATTCAAGGTATTGATATATTAGACAACTTTCTGTTCCTTCTTTCAAGAAACTGACTTTGAGACTTTTAATACGAATTTTTCCATTCATATATTTGTGTTTACATAACTGTGCATTTGTATCTTGATGTAATGATGACTAAAATGCCACCCAAAAAGGCATTTACTGCAATGAAATGGAACCAGAACACAGCTATTAAAAATCATTATAGATATAAGGTAATCTAGTGATTTAAAATATAGTATCAATCACACATGATGAGAAAAAAATTCTTTTCACTTTGGTAGTCAGTACAGAAAATATTACTTTGTTACTTAATAATGTAGACTAAGAAAATTGATCAATTTACATGAACATTAGATTCCTCATTGAAAAATATGGATATGAATTATTTTCTGTCACATAGTGTAGACATTTTGAAGACTGAGAAGTATCAAGTAGACACTAGGAGTTCTTAAGGCTTATTTATTAGTAGATGATACTGATACTTGGTAGAAATATTTCTGTTTGTATTTATTAAAGTTTTTAAATTATGTGACATCATAGAAATCAAATATAGTGTTGATCCTCATAACATCATAGGATGGTTCAAAATGTTCCTATATTTTTAGGATAAGAAAAGTACAAAATGAGAGTGCCACATATCTCAACTAGTTGTAATTTGGTGAGTTCAAAGCACAGGAGGATTACTACAGGACTTTATTGCATCGCAAATAAGACCTTTCCAAAGCTCCTGAGATTTACTGTCCTTGAAATGAAATTGTCTAAGGAACAAAGTCAAAACATAAAGTTTAACAGTAAGCAAATGCCAAGAACTGAGATTACGACCAAAGCATTTGCTTAGCTATGATTTCTTCTTATTTTCAGGAGTATTCTGCCTAGGCATATTTTGCATTTAAAATGTTATGAGAATGAGGCTCTGATGGATTAAATGAGTTATACAAGGTCACATAAAGAATTATTGTTAGAGGTAGAACTTGAAGTAGGTACATTAGATTCATAATATTCTACTTTGATTTGTATTTCATGTTGTAGAGTGCTGAGCCAAGAAACTTAGTTTCCTTCGAAATAACCACAGTCCTAACTTTTTAATTTCTTAATAAGTAATTTTTGACAAAATTATTTGTGAAACCTACAATTTTATATATATATTATTTTGTTTAAGTAGCATTGCTAGATATATATCTAAATTTTTAACCTAATTACCACTGATACTGTTATGATTATTGTCATAATCATTGCATATATGGGGATATAATGGTATATCAAATTATATCTTATTCCTATTTGTTGCAAATCTCTTTATCTAAATAAATAATTGTAGGAACAAAGATGTATACATGCAGTGGTAATGTGCTTTATGCATCAGGGTTTCAGAATACTTAGAGACTGTGTAACGGAGAGTTGACAGAATCATGCAAGTCAGAGAAGCCCTTTTTCAGGAAATCATTCTTCTGCAGATATTTGAAAACTGAGCTAGTGCTAACAAGAAAGAATAGGAAGCACGATCATTCCATGGGATTTCGCAATACAGGAAGCTTAAGGGACTTTAAAATGACCAATATGTTTAGAGGGTAAAGGATGAGATGAATAGGGGATGAAATGAGGGGCAATTTAGACAAGGATTAGCCTGTGTGTGACTTTTAGGTCATGTTAAGCATTTCTTTATTCTTCAATAGATCAGTTGATAACCATCATATTTACCAGAGACTTTGATATAATCAGATTCTGATTTTGAATAATCATTGTGGTTGTAGTGCACAGAGCACAGTGGAAGAGGTCCAGCTGCTGAAACAGGCAGAATAGTAAGGTGATTTTTGTAGCACTACAGGTAGGACATAAAGATACCTCACCTGGGGACATGGAAGTTTAGATGGCGAAAGATACAGACTTGAAAAATGTTGGGGAGACAAAATGAATACAACTGGGGGGAAAACTGGGTATGGGAAATGAGGGAGAAGAAATTTTAGAAATGTTGACTTGGCCATCGTTTGGTGACAGTTAAACAGTCACCAAAGAATGGGATTAAGATTTGGAGGAATGGACAAAAATGTGGCTTTTGTATGAGGAGTTTGAGGAGATTTTGAATCATTCAACAGGAATTATTTAGGAAGTAGATGGATAGATATGTCTGGATAGATATATAAGTATACATTTGTGTATCATCTGCAAAAAAAGACTATGGATGTTATATTATCATAATCTTGTCTAAGAGAGTACACTATGATGATTGATCTTAGAATATAGTCTGTAGGAAACCCAATTTTAATAGACCAGATAGAATATATGATTGCTGGAGAGATAGAAGACAAACTGGGAGTTCACTGTGTTACAAGAGGAAAATACTTCAAAAAGAAATAAGCCAATGATGCTAGGTACCGTGGAAATGCCAAGTAAGATAAAAGCAGAAGAATATGCTTTGGCTTCAGTTACATGTAATTCATTGGCAAACTTGATAAGAGTTGTTTCTGTAGATTGACAGGGCCAGAATCGAAACTGAGGAGAGCTGAGAAGTAAAACAAGGAGGCTAGGCTAAATACTTTCTAAGGACCCTTGAACTATAAAATACTAGTGTATCGTTTCCTTCTGCTGGCCATTCTCCCTTTGTCACAAGTTACTTACTCACCCTACTCTTGTTTAATAATTTATCTCTATTGTGGAAAGAAATGTTTGGAAGAATATACGACTTAAGCACTGTTACAACCTTAAATTTGAGATAAATCATTTTTTCTACTTTTATATTTATATTTTGGAGAGAATCTTGAGCATAAAATACACAACTAATTTTCCCATGAAGCACCAATTGAAGGAAGATATTTCCAGGAATTGATTTCATTTTGGGGGTCAGGACTTCAGGGGTAAGAGTTCCTCAGGAGTAGAGTTCCTATGTGGATGAGTATGGAAGTGTGTAGATTTGAAGCTGTAATTCAGGAATGTCACATACTGCACCATGATTTTCTTTTAAATTGAATAACTTTTGCTAGGCTTTGAGAATTAAGAATTATATCTAAAGGATTGATTTTTATGTAAGTACAGTGTTTAGGCACTGCTACATTACCTAAAATCAGGTACCAACATTCTCTGTCTTGGTGGCATAGAAATCAGGTAAAAGGGCATAAGTTTTACCAGATTGCTACTCAAGGTGTGATCTCTGGACAGGCAGCATCAACTCTAGCTAAGAAATTGTTAGAATAATTTCAGGCCCCAATACAGACCTATTGTAACGGAATTTGTGTTTCAACAGAATATTTAGGTGATTTACATTACTATTAAAATAATTTGTCATTTTTTTCCTGAGAATATATGGAAGTTTTGTTACTTTGCTACAAAACTTAAACTTATCAAAGGACAAGTGAGCCATTTACAGGCTAAAAACTAATGATATTTTATTTTAAAATTAAGTCCAGTGGAGTGTCGATGTGACTGATGAGACATATTTGACAGACGAAATGTAAGTTACTCATTTTATGATAGGATATGCAGTTTTTAACCCTCTTTCCCAAAAGCTGCTAAATGTGTTCATTGAGCTATCTGCTATTCCTCTTTTCATTAATACTTGTAAATTTAATTTGAGATAGCTGGGTTACCTATTGTGATTTTGTACTGGATATCTAAACATCCACTATTTCAGTCTCTCTAATCAACAGAGAAGTTCTACACTTTATTTCACGATCCTCTGCGGTGATTGGAATCTGGGAGGGGCAGATATAACTACACTCCCAGTGTCACTTTTCCTTGCTCCATTTCTAACATGGAGCCCTGTTCTAACCTTTAATCAGTGAAGGAAAAGATTGCTACTGCCCCCTGCTGGCCCACTGTCTTTTTTCCCTTCTCTGCGCATCTGTACCTTGAAGAGAATGTCCAAGGATTATGAGAAACTGAAGAAAGCTCAGGGGAAGGGGCTTTCCCTAGTTGAGAGGTAGAGAGATCCTTTGAGAACAAGCTGCTAAAATCAGACTAAAACACTTGAGAGAAAAGCACAAAGGCTTCTAAATTAAATTATCGATCCTCATAAATCATTTTTTTTTTCTGTACATGAGCTTCTCAATACCAAGAAAATGTCCCTTTTCAGCACAGGACTTTTTTGCCTCTAGCTCCCACTGACAAGGAGTGAACTATCCACATCCTTGTTACAATTTCAGTACTCTGAATCCTGTTGTCTTTTTCCACAATTTTCTTTCTCCACGCCTAAACCTTATTACCCTCTCCCCCGCCCCCCCCCCCTTTTCTACTTCAAACTGCCATCCCACTCACCCACAGGCAGACTAGTGTTTCCAGGAGCTCAGACCCCAGCCGCTCTCACCCTTTCCGTCTTCCTCGACCTCTGCTCTCCCCCTGCCATCGTTACACCCCCTCGTCAAGCGCCCAGTCACTCTTTGCCTTTGAACGACAGGCGCATCCTCTCTTGATTGCCTCTCCCCGACCCCCGCCCCAAGCTACTGAAAAAGGAAACATGCGCACTTCAGAGCTAGGAGCTGTCCGAGTGCTGAAATTTATAGGCTGGGTAAGATCACGTCTCCGTCTCTTTCTGTAGCCCTCATTCCAGCACAGGATCTCAGCAAACCTCTCCTCTTCCCTCTGAACACTCCAGCTCGCAGAGCCCTTTTTTCCCCCTCAGTTATAACTTCTTTTAAAAAGAGAACATTTTCCAGAGAAAGGGGCTTTTCTAAACGGAAAGGATATAAAACAAAAGCCACAGAAACCTGACTTCCAGCATGGTACTGTCACCAGCCCCTTTTGCATGGTGATGCGATTAAGGTAGCAGCATTTTATTATTATTATTATTATTATTATTATTATTATTATTATTATTATTATTATTCAGGAGAAACAGCTGAGGGATTCACCAGTTCTCAGGCTTTGTCTTTCCTGGGCTAACTGATGGTCCCGAGTCTTGGTTTGACCTGATCATGATGCCCAGGATTGGCACTTTTTGTTTTTCCTCAGCAAACTGTGCAAACCCAAATCTCTTTTTGATTTTCAAGGAAACTAGATTCCTGCCAGATTTTGAATCCGGACAATAAATAGATACTTTGTCTAGCTTCTTTTTGGAATCATTTCGGGATATTTTCCACAAGCATCACAGAAACAGGAATGAACCGGCAGCTAGTGAACATTTTGACAGTCTTGTTTGCATTTTTCTTAGAGACAAACCACTTCAGGTAGGTGAAACGACTTTGCATGCTGATATTTTCCACATGAAAACTGATTGAGTGTCTGTCATTAAATTATCTGTCTTTTCTGTGCCCTGGGTCATATTATTTTAATTTTAAAGAAGACAGTTATAAATTTGTTTTATTCATTTAAAAAGCTTAATTATAGTGAGAGGGTAATAAATTTTCACAAAAGCAACTTTTATGTTGCATATCTGCACTCCGAATTTCAACACATTTTCACAGCCAATGTGATATAGTAAGGTAGTCTGATGAGTTGTATGCTCTTCACCTTTCTATATAAGGTTGGTATTTTTGCTCTCAAATTCTTCTGGAAATAATTCAAAGATATTATTGGGTGCAATGTTTTTCACATGGTGGAAACATTTGTATTAATTTGCCAAGAGTGTGTTCATCTTACATAAAATATAAAATAACTCTAATTCTCAGCCAACTTGGGACTTCTATTATATTTCATCAACTAGGAAGGAGCATACTATGAGAACTGAAATTCAGGAATTTTCTTGGAACATCAAAAATGTCTTTTTACCAATATATTCTACTGTCTAGTTCTACTGGAAATTGGTTATTTTCAAAAATTTAATTAATATGACAGTTTTGTATTTGTAGCTGTGTGACAAAGGAAGTGTGCAGAGTTAAAATAGTGAGCAATAATTATTTGCACACTTTTATTTCTATATAATTAACTAACTGTCAAATCAATTAATACCTTGAGGTACTTGTAAGTGAAATAAATAATGGCAAGGAATCTAACACAGAATAGAGAGAGGAGATGCTCTTACAATAAAGTATAGAACTCTCTCATAAATTTTTCACCAAATTTTATGGTATTTTTTCACAGAACCAAGAAAAATGAAACAAATAGAAATAATATTATGAATACCAGGAAAACCCACTATGTTCCTCTCAGATTCACACCTCCTACTATGATTAAGATAGATTGTAGGCTGAGTTTTATTAGAATCATCATCATCATCATCACTACCACCACCATCATAATCAAATAATACTTGATTAATCAGATGAATCTGCTTGTGGGAATGTGAGTATTTCTGAATGATATAACATCAATTTTTAACTACCAAACATTTATAAAATATTTGTACTTATATTTAATTCCTCTTTTTTGAAAAGCTGGAAAGATTATGTTTTCAGAAACAGAATTAGCAAGACTATTTGTTAAACTATTGAAAACAAGGGTTGTGAAACATTCTGTACTGAAGAAATCAGCATAATGATCATGTATTTTGCTATAAATAAAAATGTTTGTGATAAGTTTTTTACTACTTTTAACATGGTTATAATAACCTGAGAAATTTTCCTGTCAACTTTTAGTGTTTTGGTAATGGAAAACATAAAATACTTTAGAAATGTTTTTTTTTAAATTTATACTGTATTGGGGAGTCAACAACTTAAATGTTCATATATGAATAACAACTGATAAAATGTTGAAAGTAACAGACAAGCTAATTCCTGATCCACTTTAAAATTATGTGAAAATTCCAAGTGAGGATTTTCTTTTAGACATAAAACCGAGAAATACTAATAACTAGTAAACAGAATAGAATCTAGCAGGTGAGAAAATAAGCAGTATGGTAATTAATTATACTGTTTATTTTTTCAGTTCATCATATTATGTATTTTGTGCAAAAGTTTAAGGACATATTTAGTGAGTAATTCTGGAACAAAATTTTAAAGCCATGGGGAAATTATTCTGTCACCACATAAAATTAATCATATATTCTTCATTTTTTTTGATAATCCTAAAAATAAGCAGCTTGACCTATACATCCATAAAATCTACAAGCTAAATTTATAAGCTTTGTCTGATCTCAAAAATATTTAATGTTTGGTAACATGAAAGATATGACTCAGAGTTTATACCTGTCATTTAAAGTTACTTTAGATCATGTGCAAGTTCAGAAGGTGACCAAAGAGTTGCTATTTTTCTATTTTGCTTCTTACTAACACGACAAATTGTCTTTACCAAGTCATGACTGAAATATTTTGCGAGTTTTATTTCTCAGAGGTTGAGAATGGAATTGGTGCTAAAAAACTTAATGACTTTTTAGGGCAGCTTTCTGCAAAGACCATGACACCAGGTCTGGGAAACAGCCTTCACAGACCCTATCTCCTTCAGATTTCTTGGACAAATTAATGGGAAGGACATCAGGATATGATGCAAGAATCAGACCAAATTTTAAAGGTAAATGTCACTTAAACTGATGTTAAAGTCTTTGAGAAACCTTCTAGGTGTATGAATAGTTTACTCTGAAAATAAGTTTTAGGACTTGTTAGGGTTTTTTGCAAAATAGAAGCAACAAGTGTGACATTTATTTTACTTTGGCATTCTTTTGAATTAGTCATTAATTTAAATATCTTAAATTTTGCCTATCACTTGTCATGTATAAGAACTTTTATCACTCATACTCTGTTCCACAAAGAACACTAGTGGTGGAGATTATTGCCACAATCTTTATTTTGTCTTAAGTGACAGTACCATTGGAAGTGACTACAAGCACAAATGATGGCCTTGACTGACATGAATATCTACCAAGTACCTAATGATAGATTCAGAATTTTCACCAAAAAATTGTTTTTTATTTTAAATAGCTACATCACAATGAAGTTTAAATCTCAGTATAAAACATGTTATTTTATACTCATTCAGGCCTTTTAAGTGTCACAAGTTGTTAGGCTCTAATTTAGTACATCAGAAATTTTTGATTCCTATTTATTTGAACTTTGTTTAGTTGAAATGATTTGCTTAAAATTAACAAAGAAGATTACACAATGATAAAGTGCACATGTAAAAGGTTTGTACTTTCTTTGCTCAAAGAGAAGCAAATGGAAGAGATTTTGTTTTGTTTAACGTTTTAAAAATATTCTTAATAGTCTATAGAATTGTTTATAATTAATTGGGTTTATTTTTACCTTGAATCAGAAAAACTGTAATAAGAATCAATAATTCATGAATTGAAATATTTTTATGCTTTCATTTTAAAATACGTATTTTAAATGGCAATTGCCTTATAACTTATAATTTAACATAATGCCTTGTGAAGCATTTGTATTATTTTATAAAATAAAGCAATCTGTAATAGTCTAGATGTTATGTAATAAGTTATAAAATGTTCTGCTTTTGCTTATTAACAGTTTAATTGCTTGGCTTTCCTTGAGTTTTGACTAATTTTTACTAATGGAAAATGTATGCATAAAAACTAAACTTCAAGTTCGCTTCTTTCAGTGACACACCTCTGAATATACCCATCTGTGGACACATTTCATAAAGAAATACTTCAGAATTTTGGTGAAACAAGTGTTTCTATTATTTTAAAGTACTTCTGACACAACTGAACTAAGCTCAGTCTCCCCCCTACACACACAAAATCATCCACATTTCCAACTCATTTCCTACAATTTTTTGTTCATTGCTTTGGAAGCCAATATTTGAAATAAGCTCCTATGACTAACAAGCCAAGTGATAGCTTTCAATGGGATTGCTCACTCACATATTTAAGCTACAATTTTTGAGTCTGAATTATACGCAAAATACTATTGAGCGCTTTAGAAAGTTGAAAGATGAAACAGTCTGATGTGGTCGCATCAAAAATTTCAGTGGGGAAGAGATGTTACATCAATATTTACAATATCAAATAGAAATAATTATTAGCAGGAAAAATATCATCTAAAAATCACTACATGCAGTAAATTATACCAGATTTGAAGAAACAGAGAGATTATTTATTAAGCAATTCATGGAAGATTTCATAGAGAAGATCCAGAGATTAAGAACTAGATTAGGTTAATGGGCTATCTTTATTTGATAGCACTTAATATTTATTTCTATTAAGAAATAATTTTTCAAAGGTGCAAAAAAGTACAAAGCATAACAAATACTCAAGATACCATTGCTATTTTAAATGACTATACAAAATAAGCTTGCAGGGTTGGTTTTTTCCTAATTTTTCTAGGCATCTCATACTTTGAAAATAACACGTGTTACGGTACTGAAGAATAAATTAATGAGAAGGTCAGGTTTAGCAAAGCATGGCATTTTTTATGTATCAACTACACAAAGGCCTAAGTATATGATATTTTAATGATTTACAAAAGAGAAATGGGGTGAAAATCATTGAAAATTTGAAAAATACTTAAATTCATTGAATTTTGTCTTCTCCCTTCAACTCTCTACTTCCTTCATGAACTATATTTATACAAACATTTATATCAGATCAATTATCTGACATCAATCAAAGCTCCCTTCTTTCTGGGGACTTGACTTTTTTGATGTAAAAGATTCCCAATTTTTTTAAAGGAAAATAATTTCACGTCTTTTGTGTTCCCCCAAAATTTTATAAGTCTTTTGGTTCTTTTGCACACTTACACTTTATCCATTCCAAACTCTATATAAGAGAACATGGAAGTGCCTTATTTTACATACACATATATGAAATATTGGTAGTATAAAGAAAACAGTCATCTTTATTTCCAAGACTGAGGAAATAAGGACACAGAAAGAGAGGGAAGTACAGATTAAATATAAAGATCAGTGCTTTCTATTAGTTGTAGTAGAAGTTGAGGGTGGGAAGTTTGGAAAGAGTCACAGGGGGAAACAAAAAAGATCTTAATTGAGCTGAAGAGAAAGAAAGAAAATAAAATATATTACAGAACTTGAAACACCAAGAAGGCTCGGAAGAACACTAATATACTTATCACAGTAATTTAATAATGCATCAATCAGAAAATTTACATAGTAGGTAGAAATGATCAGTAGTTAGGAAATGCAAGTGCACGAGGATAGTGATATTTCCCCTGTAAATGCCCAAAGGTTAGTTGGCTAATATAACAAAATAAACATGATGATAAGGCTGACAATGACAACAACAATGATTAATAACAGTAACAGAGATTAATAAAAAGAAAGCAAAGCTTCAACATAAGAATAAAAGCAAGAGCTGCTTATGGTCTACTGAAGTAAAGAGAGTGGCTATTCTAGAAATATTTTTGAATATTATCATATTTCTCTTTTCTTTGCTGCCATACATTGGCAAGAGAATATAAAAGTATGTGCATGATTTTTCTTATTGGAAGGAATTTTTCCTGCATACTTTCAAGTCGGTAAAATATTGCATGTCTATTTCACATATCTGATGGGCTCTGAAAGATGTCATAATGAGCACATATATAAAAAGAAAGATGGGTGTATGCTAGAAAAGGAATCCAGGAGTGATTCAGAGTTAGGCTCTATAATTGAGAGACATTCTTAGAAACCATAAAAAAATTACTTTTTTGATGTGTCAAAGCACAAGTGTATAAACAAAGTTAAGAGTCAAAGTTGCCAATTGAATTGCATCTGTAACATCTATAGAGACCTGGAATGGAGCTTGTTAAAACATGCATTTTCAAAATTCTTAATTCAGATAAAAACACAAGCTATTGACAATTACCTGACTGTAAAACCATGGTATATGTTGATTTGATAACAACAAAGGACCCTCTTTCCTTCCTTAGGGATTTGTTTCATTTCAGTTCCTTTATCATGGTGTTATCCCATCATCCTATCAGAAATTCTTTTCTTGGTATTATTGAATCTTGAGAGTGTCACCTTAAACATTAAACTTTCAATGAAATACTCAAAGCCACACAAAATTCATTTGCTGTTTGTCTCTTTTTGAAGTAACACACACACACGTTTTGCTTGTAAATATTAGCTTAAAGTTAATCTTGAATTCCATTCTATTGTGAAAAACTGTATTTTACCTTAGCATTATTTTTAGAGTAGGATCTGGAATAATTAATACCAAAATAATTATTCTCCCCTTCTTCATATATGCAATGCAAACTAAATGTTTTCTACATCTAGAGACCTTGGTTTCAAAGTATGATATAATACACTAAAATCTAAGTTTGCATAACTTACAGTTTCCTGAAAATTCCAATGAGTTAGAAACTTAACATGTGCTTCATATACAGTATAAGTAGAACTAGATTTATGTCCATGAAACCAGAGGCCTTCATGTTTTGCCCCTTGGAAATTCTCCTGTCTGTAGCTAAGTGGAACTCAATTTCAAATGTGAATCCCAACACCTATAGGATATGTTTGAGTAATTGTTCAGCAAGAATCATTGAAAAGTGTGCTTTTTCTCAGTTAGTGATAATGCAGCCCCACAATGACCATTTCTCTGACCATTCTGGTGGATGTGGGCATTTGACATAACCATGGACCCTGAGAAAGAGGAACAGAATGGGTATCTGACATAATTAACAAAGGTCCTCAAGTGCAAAAAAAAATAGAGTAAATCATCAAATACCTGACAGGGTAAGCCATGGTTGTGTTGAGATTATAATTTTATTAGGGAGGGCACAAAACAATTGGTTTAATTAGAAATTACCTCAATAGAGATTATGGAATTATCTGGAGTACTCATTGGATAGCTGCCTTTTTCACATAGGAATTCCTATCCTCTCTTAATTCTGGGTCTCCCTTAATTAATCAACAGACTTGGTGTAAATTGTCCCTTAAGTGTTAAAATGGGGAAAAAAGCACAATAGGAAAAAAAAAACATTGTTTAAGCATATTAGAGTTACTCAAAGAAAAATGAGTTTTCAGGTGTCTCTAAATGTCAAACATGAGTCAGAGCTGCCAATTGTGAATATTTTTAAAGGATATAAATGCAATGTGTGATTTTTTGAGACATTATCTTTCATTTGTGATAACAATGTTGATTTCAATGGCCTAGAACTAAGCTCATTTGCAAGACAGTTGACATTTCCACTAAGGATACAGAGAAAATAGTTATCATTGGGGACCATTCATTGGAGGAACTAGAATACAACTAAGGGAAAAAAGAAATAAAGAAATTAAATTATATGGCTGAAAGAATGGACTTATTTTAGGTTTAGTTATTATAAAACAATAATTTTGCAAAGTAGAAATGCTATGCTTATCTATTCACCTTCCAATATATGGAAAAATATGTAGGAGTAGTATGTAAACATACTTATGCTATACTCATATGCATTAAAATGAAAGATATTCTGGAAAGTTGAAACATTGGTGGCTTCTGAGAAATGGGACTGGATGCTAGGGGTGCCACAGTAGAAAGAAAAGTTATTTGTCTCTGAATGTCTTTTGAATTTTGTTCATTACATTTATTTCCAATCAAAAGGAAACTTACAAAGAGGTAGAGTCCAAGATAGCCC